AAAAAAAAACGTTTTAGCCAGTTCACTCGGAACTATATTTCAGAAATCACTTAATATTGATCTCCACCATCAGAAAGAGAGCTCCCCCCTCTCACATTTCATCAAATTTCCCTAACGGTTTGCCCAACCCACCCTCTGAAAAAAGCTAAGTAACCCGGCCAAGGTTCAAACCCTTGTCCTTACATCCAGAAACAAGTTACATAACCACGGGGCTACCACGTTTCCAACTAAGAAGAAAACGTAATTAAAAACCAGAAACTGTGCCAACCTGCGGCAATGACAGGATCAGTCATGATTTCTCTTGTTATGGGACACAGAAATTCATCAGGTATATCTTCCTCTAGTTCCTCCTTCTTAATTTCCTTAACTGTTCGCAAAATTTTATTTCGATGACCAGCTGGACCTGAAAATGATTCGATAAGTTGGTCTTCTGATTTTTTCAACTATAAATTGGGATAAAAGATGTGCTTTGTAAACTTCATCCAGTTTGTTCTTTAACCTTCTAAGTCCTAAATTCACGCCTCTAATTCTCCCTAATGGTTGTGACACAATCTTGAAAACTTGGTTTATAGGAGAATTCGGTTTTAGATCTAGATAACATGTTGAAATATTGTATCATCAGTTTGCGGGTAAACAGATTTCAAGTGTGAGAAGATGGCGGCTGTCAATCACCTCTAGAAGATTGAAGGGTAAAAGCAGTCAGTCATAGGGCTTTGGTGAGAACGGATTACCTTCATCACGCTAATATCAAGGAAAATAATTTTAAAATATCCCTTGGATCAACAAGAATTCAAATCAGTAGAAGAACGGTGGCCACTGTCCAACACTTTTGTTGATCAATGTAACTTCAGAAAGTCACAGTGGACAGTACGACCAAGACTTCCATAATAAAACCTTGGGAGTGAAAGGTTTAAGAAAGGAAAGTAATTCTGCATATCATTCCAACTGGCCCTCTTATCACTCCACTCACCAATACCAAGGTCTGATGCCAACACTTCACTGGTCATATTGGACAGCTCCATTCCATCAATGGCATTCTGACGGAATGATTCACAGTAAATATCAAGATCCAGTGAAATAAGCCAGCTACAGACATCATCAATACTCCATGTCACAAGTTTCTTCCTTTGTTTCTTGGGTTCCTGAGTATGAACCAAAGGCAAACACAGTCAAACTTTCATAAAAATACACAGCTACCTTCAGTAAGAAAATTTTTCATTAAACAATGCCACATTCTTATGACAGAATCATCCCAAAGGCAAGAAACGGTAAAATCAACAATTATCAGAAAAGCTAGAACTGCTAGAGTGTCTGACTTCCCTGCCTAAGTTCATGAAACCACAATGTTTAAAAGGTGGCTTTCTAATTTAATCTGTGATGATCAATCAACAAACCATACCTGAGGCTCCTGTTTCTTCACTGGTGTACTCTGAAGAATTGGCTTTGTTGTTGATCTGCCTGACTGGTCCAGTTCACCTGTTTGGTTTGGAGTGCAGCACATTACTACTTTGATAAATGCAAGGCAAGCACACCAAAAAAAAATTCAGCTTGGAAGGGAAATATTTCATGGGTGATTGCAGTCACACATGAAAAGGATGTCGTGTGGCCTAAAATGCAGCTCTACAACACTGTGCATGAACAGACTATAATTTGTATGCAGTTATTTGCAGGTCAAAAGGTGACCCCTTTTTTAATGTAAAGGAAAAAAACCATCTCAATGATAAATATGAAATAACTAACAGCTTATAAAATTTTATATGTGTCTGAACGTACCACTCTCAGTTAAACAAATTTTCCACAGCTTCACCGTTCTGTCATTTGATCCTGTTGCCATCCAGTTCCCATCCAAAGAAAATGCACAACAATTTACATACCTAAATAAAGAAGATAAATATGAGTCTTCACCACAGAGGTCTCAATACCTTTTTTCATTAGTAACAGACAATATGAGATCTTTAACTCCCAAGATCTGATTGATAATTCTCCCCTCTAGCTGCTAGACATATCCTTGTAAATTAGTATGAGAATTTGGGGTTACTGGTAGATCAAGACAACAACTTCTACCTAATAAGTTTGAGTATTCTCATTAGCTGTTTGCAGAATAATGTAAGGATATTATCGGGATAAGTTTCATGTTGATCACTTCTGGGAGTTAAAGGGTGAAGTAAATTTGTCTTCTCTATAAATTTGTGCTTCTCTATGTTAGCATAAATTTGATTGTTTTAAGAAATATGATAATTTTTTAAATAAGTGCTACCCTGAAAAGAGTGCTTTCTGCAAATCACTTTCATTCCCAAGATCTAAATATCAATTCTCTCCAATGTCTGCTATATTTTTCTTTTAAATTTGGTGTTACATCAGCAATATTCCATAACTAAAAAAACTTTTCTGTCTTCTTGTCACCTTTCTGCTTGATTATATATCAACAATGTGGGGAGAAATTCCCTTTTGGTCACTCCCAGGAAAAAAGGGTTAAGCAACATGCCTGGTTTGCAAAAAAATTAACATATAATCTAGCAAAAAGAGTGATAAGGGTTAATTCCACAAACATACCTTGTATGCCCCTCCAATGTTAGCAATGATACTCCCAGTAACTGTTAAAAAGAAATTCCCCAGGTAATCATTACAAACCATAGGTACTCATTCTAGAGTCAAATACATATTTCCTTTCACACGAAAAACCCCATGAAAATTTACAATTATTTGCTTTTCTTGAAAGCGAATTAAAACAAAAGAGAACCTAAAAGTATGATGAGTTCACAAAGAAAGACAAAGTATCAAAATTTTGAGAAATGTACAACCCAACTTCAGTCATTGTGAGAGCACTTCATGAAAAATTTGGTCAAAAGTTCAGCCAGTTTTAAGGTTTGATGAATGAATACATGAATATGATAAATCTGAATTGCTGATTAGTAAATGAAGATGAGAGAGATCACTGCAGTTAGGAACACTACTTAATATGCAGTGGTGAAAATAAAGCCTGAAAAAAAAATCAGGTATGTATGGGAGTTGAATCTAAAGTAATTAACAAACACATTTTCTGTCATTAACTTACTGGATCCCAAAGGATAACTAACTTGTCTGAAGACCTGCAAAAGAAATAAACAAGAAAGCATAATCAACACTTGATCCCCGTTTGTGTTTGACCAGGGAAAACACATTCCTTGCCTATGGACCTAAGCTTCTGACTATTTAAGAAACTGATGCCCTCAAAAAATTGTGTGTGTAACAAGATGTGCAAGGTTTTCAAGATCTGGTACAAATTGGTAGTAAATTTAACCAATGTTGTGGCAAGCTTTGCTGCACTACTCACATGTTTAAACACCCAAGCTGAATCTCCACACAGTGTGCAAAGAATTAGGGAAAAGATAGGTTTTTTTGGATCATGCTTCTCTTGTTACAGATATAATTCCTGTTAAAGGTCACAGTGAAACAGAGGGCTTTTGTGTTTAACATGAAGTCCCTTTTTTCTCTCTACAGACTTTATCTCGCCCTTTGTGATCAGTAGCACAGCTTGCTTACCCTGATGCCATGATTTTGCCATTTGGTGACATAGCAATGCCATGCACTGGGCCCT